AACAACAACAACAACAACATCCATATCTATTATTCATAGCAGTAGTAGACAATTTGGGCAGAATTTTTTTTTTATGCTAGAGAAGACCTTTTAACTGCATCTTAAGACATTTTATCCTGGGGAGATCTGGTGGCCTAGTGGCAAGGAGCTGCACCACAATCCCAGAGGTATGCGGTTTGAATCTCCACCAGATGCTCTGCTGGAGAAGGAGGGGCAATCTCCTCCTGTACCAGTAAGATCCGATATAACAGTACACACACTAAAGAATTTTTTTTTTAAAAAAAAGACATTTTATTCTATTGCCAGATTTGACAGCCTCCAGGAGGGGAAGGAACCAGAAAGGAGGAAGTAGAGATGCAAACTCACTAGATTTAGGGAAGTGGTTCTTAGAGAAACAAGCTTTCCTCACATATAAATTGGGCCCTACAATACCAGAGCAGACGAGGAGGGATTTTCAAAATCAAATGAGTGTCAATGTCAAGGTCAAGTGGGTCCTAGGAGGAGGTTAGAGCTTCTCCAAGAGCTGGACCATGATGTTTTCTTCTTGCCTAGGAAATGGATATCAGGTCCTGGCTGAAGAACCAACACCACCACCACCACCACCAACAGACCAAACACTACAAAACAACAAACCCAGGTTTGAGAAAATATAAGGAGTCTGTGAGTCATGCAGATGGAGATGTTTAGGGGAATAAGAATCTAAGTTTGATGGAAAATGAGTAGTCCAGGGGCGTGAGACGCCGGAGTCTTCCAAGGAGAGATATCTAGGAAGACCTAGTGATTTTGAGCTTACAAGAGATCCAGGCTCGCTTTCTCAAAAAGTTGCAAATAGAAAAGCCATTTGACTCAGCAATTCCACTAATGAGAATTTACCCTAAAGAGACCAGAACTGCCACCCAAGCAGATATATGCACACCCATGTTTATGGCAGCCTTGTTCACAATAGCCAAGAGTTGGAAACAACCTAAGTGCCCATCAACAAATGAATGGATAGAGAAGCTGTGGTATATTCACACAATGGAATACTGTGTAGCATTGAAAAACAAGGAACTCACGAAATATCATGCAAAATGGATGGCCCTGGAGGAAATTATACTGAGTGAAATATCTCAGTCACAAAAGGACAAATATTGCATAGAGCCACTGTTGTAAAAGGGGACTGACAATCAGGGTTGAGAGAAGACAGAGAAGGAGGGGAGGAATGATGTATACTGCATTGAAACAGATGAGGGAGAGAACTGTTTAAAAGGGACATATGAATGGGTGTTCTTGTCATTGCAAAAGTCCAGAGTGAAGGCTGCACAGTGGAATGAACTTGGACGGAGGGATTGTGTAACAATGAAAGAGTTTTTCTTTTTAAGGAGAGGAGTGATGGGGGGGGAGGGATGGGTAGGAAGAAAAGTGCAACAATGAATGACTAGAAATCCTAAGTCTCTGTAAACTTTCATTAAAATTAATAAAAAAAATAAACAAAAAAACCCAAGAGATCCAAGCTGAAAGTATGCCCTAGGAGTCTTCATCAGAGCCTGGACGCAGTCTCTCTCTCACCTGACTCAAGATCAATTCATTTAGGGGAGCTCTGGTGGCCTAGTGGCAAGAAGCTGCAACTACAATCCCAGAGGTGCACGGTTCGAATCCACCAGATGCTCTGCCAGGGAAGGAGGGGCAATCTCCTCCTGTACCAGTCAGATCTGATTTGACGGTACACGCACACAAAAATAATAAAATAAAAAAAGATCAATTCATTTAGAAGATTTACTAAGTAAGCTCTATGTACCGTTTCCAAAGCTTGATACTGAAAATACAGACTGAACACAGTGCAGGACTTCCCTTGGGGAGTTAGACACTTACATGGATAATCTTCAAAACCATGTCAACTGGCACAACATAAGCCACAAAGACAATGGTCTATTTCCTACTTTGGTGAGTAGCGACTGGGGTCTTAAAAACTTGTAAGGAGCCTGCTAAGGGGCAGTTGTTAAGTGTCTTCATGTCCACAGCCCAGAAGAGGAAAGAATGCACACCCACGTTTATTGCGGCTTTGTTCACCATAGCAAGGAGTTGAAAACAACCTAAGTGCCCATCAACAAACGAATGGATAGAGAAGCTGTGGTATATTCACACAATGGAATACTACGCTGTACTGAAAAACAAGGAACTCATGAAATATTATACAAAACGGGTGACCCTGGAGGACATTATGCTGAGTGAGATATCTCAGTCACGATAGGACAAATACTGCATGGTGCCCCTGTTGTAAAACAGGACTGACATCGGGGTTGGGGGGAGACTGAGAAAGATGGGTTCAATAATGTATACTGCATTGAAACAGATGAGGGAGAAAACTATTTAAAATGGATATGTGATTAGGTATTTTTGTCATGACAGGAGTCCAGAGCGAAGGCTGCATAGTGGAGTGGACCTGAGGGGAGGGATTGTAAAACAATGAAAGAATTTTTCTTTTACTTTTCCAAGAGGGGAGTGTATTGGGGGGAGTGTTGGGAGGGGAGAAAAGTGAAACAATGAATGAATGGAAAGCCAAAGTCTCTGTACATTTTCATGGAAATTAATAATACATTTTTAAAAAAAAGAGGGAATAGAAAGTAAAGACACATGCATAAAGTATTTAGTCCAAAGGACTAGTGGGTTGCCCAAACCTCAATTCCCACCATTCTGAGACAGGAAGAACTAGAATTAGATTAGTATCCTATGTGAGTTCCATGTGGCCATTGCGACAAGTGATCAAACCCAGCAGAGACGTAATGAGTACTTCTCCATTGCAACTGTTAGAAGAAGGTGTCGATCTGACACCTGGTGAGGGGCGTATCTGACCTCATAGAAATCCACTTTGTGCTGTTGATGGGGACCCTTAGTCCTTCTGAAGTCAGTGGTGGTCAAATGCGGCCACCCCCATGCCTCCTACACTATTTTTACAGGTAGACTTTAACCAAACATAAGAAGACAAGAGATAGAGGTACAGACAGATAATCACATAAAGTTGGAGTCAGAGATTGGAATTATGCTACTACAATCAAGAAATGTTTAGGTCTACCAGAAACTCTCTGTCAGAGACAGTGAGATTGGCTTAGAATAGGACAGGGTTTGGAGCTATTGGGCATAGGGCCACCACGAGTCAGAGTTCACTACTGGCACATAACAACAACAACAACAACAACAATCAGAAAGTAGAAGAGATGAAGAATCTTTCTTTAAAATCTCCAAAGCCACAAGCCCATCAACATCTTGAACTAAATAAAGGTCCTCACCTTTGGAACTGTGAGAGAATTCATTTCTCTTGTTTCTTAAGTCACCCTGTCAGGGCTAACATGTTCTAGCCACCACAGCAACCTAATACACACTCCAAGTAACTCCGTATTCCTCTGGCTCAGTCACCGAGCAGGGCTTCAGGAGTCTATCCCTGGGACACGCTTATCCTCAGAGACGCCTTCCCTGGGCTCCAGACAGCGACAGGGGCTCTGGTTGAGTCCTTACTTTTGGATCTTGATTTCTGAGTATTCAGTGGCATCGGTGCTCTCCTGTTCCGCTGAGTTCCAGGGCTTCTTCACCTCTTGGAAGTTGACACAGGCATAGTGAAGCTCCAGCCCCTCATTCGAGGTGGGCTCAGCTGCTGCTGAGTTTGGGTGGTCCAAGGGACTGCCTGATAAGGATTCGTACAGGTGACCCTGAGTGGAAAGACAGAAAGAGTAAGATGAGGCCTTTGGGATCTGAAGAAGGCAACACATAATCTTCGCGGGAACGTGGTGCTGACGGACATTTATCCACTTACTCATTCCACACACATTTCCTGAGGACACATTTATTCACACGGTTAGCAAATTTTAATTGTGATAACGGCCTGCCGCTCTTGTCACTGAACTAATTCTGACTCATAATGGCAATACGTGTGTAGAGTACAACTTCTCTATAGGGTTTTAAAAAAACAGATTAAAAATATGAATAACAAATGTTTGGCACCTCCCCATTTCTTACACACATGAATCACTGGCGTTAGTGGTTTTCATCGCGTTGCACAATCATCACAACTCTCTGTTTCTGCTCCCCAGGATTTTCAAAGCTGTGCCCTTCTGGAAGCCCGTTGCCAGGTCTGCCTCTCAAAGTCCCTCTGGGTGGGCGTGAGCCATCAATCAGCCAGCTAGTTGTCAAGCACTTAATTGTTTGTGGCTGTACCTATTACCAAATCTCGGAATTCTTTCACCTCTCTCTGCAGACGATAGAACTCTTATCTCCATTTCACAGGCATGGAAACAGAAGGAGTGAAAGAAATTAACCCTCCCTAGGTTCTATCCAGGCACGATGCGCACTGTGAGACATTAAGGAGGGCACGGAGACAATATTCTATTATTTTAAAAATACTTACAGGCAATCTCCTCTCATGCAATTTCCTGCCTCTGATGAAAACCCACTGTAAGGTCAGCTAGGAGTCAGGTTCTTTTTTGTGGGTTTTATTTCTTTTTAATTTTAAAAAAAATTTCCATTAATTCGTTGTTGCACACTTTCCTCCCTGTCACCCCCGCACCCCACCCCAGTTCATTTTTCTCTTTGAAAAGTTAAAAAGAATTCTTTCACTGTTATACAATCCCCCTTCCTGGTCCACACCACTATGCAGCTTTCATTCTGGATTCTTGTCATGACGATAATACCTAATCATATCTTTCTCCTAAATGGTTCTCTTCCTCATCTGTTTCAATGCAGTATTCATTATTTATCCCCTTTTAGTTTCCCTCTCAACTCCGTTGTTAGTCATGCTTTGCAACAGTGGCACTATGCAGTATTAGTCCTTTTGTGACTGAGATAATTCACTCATCACCCATTTTGTATAATATTTCATGAGATCCTTGTTTTGCAATGCAGCGTAGTATTCCATTGTGTGAATATACCACAGCTTCTCTAGCCATTCGTTTGTTGATGGGCACTTAGGTTGTTTCCAACTCCTTGCTAATGTGAACAAAGCTGCAATGAACATGGGTGTGTTTATATCTGCTTGGGTGACAGTTCTGGTTTGTTTAGGGTAAAATCCCAGGAGTGGAATTGCTGGGTCAAATGATATTTCTATTTGCAACTTTTTGAGAAAGCGCCATTCTGCCTTCCATAGTGGTTGCACCATTTCACACTCCCACCAACAGTGAATAAGGGTTCCAGTTTCTCCACAACCTCGCCAGCATTTGTTGCTTGCTGTTCTGTTAAATTTTGCGATTCTTACTGGGGTGAAATGATATGTTACAGTTGTTTTGATAGGAGTCAGTTTTAACTCAACGGCCAGCAATGACAATTGCAAATTAGAGTTGCATCAAATTATAATGTGATGGAAAGAAACACAGAGCTGTGAGCTCACAGTTGTGACATACATCGGCACCCACCTGCAAGGGAGGCACGTGCTGTGGTGGAGCAGAAGTTTGTTGATCATGAAGATGGGCAGTGAGTCTTGGACATCGCAGGGTGGTGCGACAGTGAACGCACTTGCCTGACGGCTGCAAGATTGGAGGTTCAAGTCCACCCAAAAGAAGAAACCAACCCTGGACAATTCTCTGGAGCACAGTTCTGTGCTCTGTGACTCCATGAGTCAGAGTTGACTCCATGGTGACTTGTTGGTGGGTGAGTTTCTGGCTTTAGGAAACAAAGAGGAGGAAAGGAGAGAGAAGAAAGAAGAGAAGAGAAGAGAAGAGAAGAGAAGAGAAGAGAAGAGAAGAGAAGAGAAAGAGAGGAGAAGAAGAAGAAGAAGAAGAAGAAGAAGAAGAAGAAGAAGAAGAAGAAGAAAGGAGAGGAGAGAGAGCAGAGAGAGGGGAGGGGAGGGAAGGGCTGAGGAGAGGAGAGGAGGGGAAAGGAGAGAGCTCAGGAGAGAGCGCAGGAGAGAGGGCGTGAGAGTGAGAGAGAGCACACGAGAGAGCATGCCCAGGTTTCTGGCCTGGATGATTACTGTGGGGAATATGGCAGGAGAAATAAAGTGGGAAAGAAAAGTCAGAGCTCAGTTTTTGACTATGGAGTGAGTGAGTCCCTGTAGCCCATCCCTAGAGATGTTCAGATGGGACCCTGGATGACAGACAGACGCTCCACACCACTCACCTGGGAGGAGGTATAACACTCACCTGTGTATCTAACACGGGATGGAAGTAATCTATTCTTGTTGCTGTCTCAGCTGACTTCTTCTTGTAGAACCTCACTCTGAGCAAAGAAAGGAGAGTCTTTTAACCTGGCTAGCTCTCTGTTATGGGAGGTAAGGGCTAATGTCTCGTTTCAGATCATGAAGGAAACGGATATACCCTCCTCCTTGACACCTGGAGCCAGGGAACAGACCCTTTGCTTGGACAAGAAGGTAGGATGCTAAGTTCTTTATTTTCTTCTTATCCTTGCCCATATATGTACCTTATTGTGGAGTCTATTGTTAGCTGCTAAAGAGTTGGTCCCTAACGCATGATAATTCCATACACATACAATACAATGAATTACTGTCCCATCCTACACCTTTCCCATGATTTCAGACTTGAAAGTGGCTGATTTTACAGGAGAAGATTACCAGGCCTCCCTTCCCAGTCCACATTAGTGCGGAAATTCAGAGACCTCTAAGTGACATGCAAACATCTATGGATGGACAGATGGTGGCTGTGCTTGTAACATATTCATTGGGATTTAAACCTGGGTCACCTGCATAGAAGGTAAGAGTTCTACCACTGGTCCACTCCATACTCATGGAGTCTACTTGTGTGGTTGTTGTTGTAGTTTGTTGACTGCCATCGAGTCAAGCACAACTCATAGCGATTCTAAGAACAAAAGACCTCATGCCTTTCCATAACTATCGTCTTTTCTCCAAGTTCATAGAGGCATGTGGTTTAGGAAGCGGATGCCACTCCTGCTTCCAAACCTGTTTTACAACTGAGAGCTCCACCAAACACTGTCCACATTGGGAAGCCATTCTGATATTTGATACCCCAATGGTACAAGATTCAACATCACAGCAAACCTAGGTTACTTCATACAGCACATTGACAAAGAATGATGTGCAAAGTGGAAGAGTGTTCCTCTAAATATAACAGCACTAGTTTCATTTAGCAGTGGTTAAGTGTTGTCGAGTCGAATATGACTCAGAGTAAGTTTTGCACAAAAGACTTGAACTCTGTTCTGTAAATAACATCATTTCTGTACAGAACTCTGTTCTATAACTAACATCAATTCTGTACATTGATAGAGTTTAGAGAGTTTGTAGAATTTCCAGAGGCATTTGGTTTTAGGAAGTGGGTGCCACTGCTACTTCCCAGCATAAATCAATCTGGAAACTCATCCAAACACTGTACATAATGGGTAACCATTATGATATTTGACAAGATTATGGAACAGGATGCAGCATCACAGTGTCTTTTGTCTATTTACTGACCTGAACTTGTGTGGTATTTATCCTATATCCATCCTCTTAAAGAGACATTTTGAGTGAAACTCCAGGTTTTGAAGCTATAAATGACATTGTCTCAGCTAAGCTACATTGGAGTTCATTGAACAAAATCAGGACATGTTTTTTAAATATTTAAAAAATTTTTTTAACGTGACATTGTTGTCTCAGCTGGGCTACTTTGGAGTTTGTTGGGTAAAGTCAGGACGTGTTTCTTTAGTTTAAAAAAAATGTAGCATTTCTTTTTTTTAAATTTTGTTTTATTCTTTCTTGTGTGTGTGTACCGTCAAATCGGATCTGACTGGGACAGGAGGAGATTGTTCCTCCTTCTCCAGCAAAGCATCTGGTGGATTTGAACCACAGGACATAAGTGTTATGAGTGTTCAATAGATCTTAGGGTTAGTGGTGTTAACAATAATTGTGCAATGTTTTAGACCATACATCGTTGTTGTTAAGGGCTGTGGACTTTGACTTGTAGCACTCTGTGAGTGACAGATTGAATCTTTGGTTTATCCTACACCATCATAAATTTTGTTAAACTCAAACTCATTGTGGTTGAGTCAGAACTAACTCAGAACTGAGCTGGTTTTCAGAGGCTGTAAATCTGACCGGAGGAGATGGCCCATTATTTTCGGTTTGAGGAGCTGCTGGTAGATTTGAATTGCCTGCCTTTGGGTTGGCAGCACAACTCCCTCCCCATTAGGCCATCAGAGTTCTTTAAACCACAGGAAGTCTCGCTCTGAGCTCTCGCTCTCGGCCCGTCGCTCTCGGCTCTCTCCTTATCATTGAGTCAGAACTAATGCATAGTTGACCCTCCAGCAGGTTTTCAGAGGTTGACAATTACATGATAGGAGATTGCTTACCTTTTTCACCACAGATAAGCACCTACCTTTGGGTTGACGGTGCAACTCCCTCCCAGCCAGGCCACCAGAGCTCCCTAATTGTATAACTGTTGTTTGTACTGACTACCACTGAGTCGGAACCAACCCATAGTGGATTTTCAGAGGCAATTTAATTGCACAGGAGGAGATGGCCTCTCTTTCTCCCTCAGAGCAGCTGATGGTTTTGAACCACATGCCTTTGGGATTCCAGTGCAGCTTCTTATCACGGGGCTACCAGCGCTCCCTTCACCATTCATATAAAGTATAATTGCTCCACTCACATGAAAACGACAAGGACACAGAGTATCAGTAGGACTGTGATGCCCACTCCCCAGCTGACGCCTTGAACGACCTCTGACCAGAAGCTTGGCTTCTCTGAAAGGCAAGCGACATTTGAGGTGAGACCCAACCCCCGCCCCAGTCAAGCATCTGAATGCACAGTCTTCACAAATCAGTGACCCACTTTTGTGCCCACTTCCTTCCAGCACCTCTTCGTTCCCCTCTCCCCATCTTATATACCTGCAGTCTCATGTCTCCCCAGCCTACTCTCTATTTAAACATTCAAAAGCCTTGAACCATAGCACTTTCCTTCTCTAAGACCCATTTATCCCACTCATGGTGTCTCCTGGGATCCAGACTCAAGTCAGTTCTTTCCCCAGGGGTCCACTTTTGTACCCTCCCCTCAATGTAGCAACAGTGGACGTGTGACATTTTGATTCTTATAGGCAGCATACCAGAGCTGAACTCTGTGCTGCCGCTTAGAAGCGGATGGCCAAGGTCTCGTTGGGTTTAAAGGGAATCATAATGGTAGCATCGCGGCTGCTCCTGTCCACCAGCCCAGTTCAAGTAAGGGACGGGCTGGGCTCGAGAGAACAGCTTCAGCACAGATCCGTGGCCTCCCTGGGCCAGGAGGGTCTGAACAGCTGTGAAGTCCCATGAAGAGGAAGGAGGAGACCCAATAGGTAATTCTCACTTTGCCAGATGCCCTTCCCCTCCAGGCTTCTCCCAACTTACTGTTCACAGAGAGGATCAAGCATGCTGCCAGGGAGCCCAGTGTATTCTCAGCTTTGCAGATATACTTTCCCTGGTCCCCCAACTTCACATAAGGGAGTTCCAGAATGCCTGGATGCAACAGTTTGGGGGGACTCAAGGTTCGGTTCTCCCGTGCCCAGCTCAGCGTGGGAGGGGGATTGCTGTCAGCAGTACAGATTAGACGTAAGAACTGGCCCTCCAGAACTGGAAGAGGTGTGTTATTGCTCAGGGCTTCTGATCCTGGAGAAGTGAAGAAAGAGAAAATTAAGCCCAGATCCCTTTTAGAGGCTCTGTCTTTCCTTTCCTTCCCTCACGTGGATTTATCTCTCCTCTTCACTGATTGATGGGCTTGTACTTTCAAAGTTTAAGTCCAAGGTAACAGGCTGAGGAGCAGACCAATTTTTCCAAAGAGCTGATGTACATTTGTCAGACTTGCCTTGGTTCCCATATCTCCTATTGTTGGTGTTGGTGATTGCCTTTGAGTTGAGCACGTCTCGTAGCAATCCTATGAACAAAAGGCCTGAAACCCCTCTACAACTATCAACATTTATCAAAGTTCATAGGGTGTCCGGAGGCATGTTATTTAGGAAGTGGACGCCACTCCTGCTTCCAAATATCGCCTAGATGAGCTCCTCATGAGTTATCTGTGCCAATGAAGATGTCAGATTTACATTCAAAGAATCTCCTGTTTAGTCTTTCAACAACAGTTGACAGAGGCATGTTTAATTTAGCCATATCCAAAGAGGTCATTGTCTGGTGAGCAAGACACTCAAAAGTAGGCACTCGCACTCACAAGGCCATATGACACCTACAGAGGTGGACTTGGGCTGAGGGAATTCCGAGAACGGGCAACTCAATGAGACTATCAGGACAGGAGGGACATTTTGAAAGAAGAGAGAGTTAAGAGAACATGAGGAAAGAGAAAGGCAGTACACAAGGAGGAATGGATTAGACATTACAATTAATACTGGTAATATTAATACAATACACAGCAACAATATTAATATGGTAATATTAATATGGTACTATTCTAAAACAAAAGGTCAATGAATGATTGGAAAACCAGTACGACTTGCAAGCCTTCACTCAAATAAAAATGAAATATAGTAGAGAGCCCATTTGGTACAGTGGACAGAAACTGATGCTACCAAGCCAAAGGTGGGTGACTTTAATCTGCAGCCCTCAGGCCTGGTTTTAATTGTTTTTGGTCAAACATTCTTCTAGGTCGTATAGCCCTGGTGTGTCCACTGCTGTACAGAGGTAACTCGTGGTTGTTGTGAAGCTGAACACTCTGACACTGAAGAGTCAAATGCAATAATGGTCACCCATGGTGGACAGTGTTTGGTGGCGCTCCCCAATTCAAACTAGCTTGGAAGCAGGAGTGGCATCTACTTCTGAAATAGCTTGCTTCCGGAAACCCTATGAACCTGGAGAAAGGACCAAAGTTATACAAATGTCTAGGTCTTTCGTTCATAGGGTCGCTATGAGTAGTCTACGACTCGAAGGCACTTAACAACAACAACAATGAAGAAAGCTCGGAGTTGATTAAAGGGTGATATTGGCGTGGAAGGGCATTGTGAGATGAGAAGGGACCACAGCTGACAAACGATACCGCTTTGCAAGGCTTGTTAAGACTTGATTGAATACATGAGTATGTTTGGGCATGCGTAACTGGTGGTGAAACGGATTTTTTTTTTTTAAATTAGAGCTCATCAGTGACCCCGCCCCCTCACCAAAAGACTTGCTAATGTGCTTGTGTAGAGACTCCTTACCGTCATTCAGTTACTATGAACCCATAACTCTACAGCAGAGAATAGAACTGCCTCATAGTGTTTCCAAGTCCCTACATCTTTAGGAAAACAAACTGTCACATCTTTCTCCCCCTGAGTGGCCGATAGGCTTGAAACACCAACCTTCTGGATAGAAGGTGAGGGACTTAAGCACTGTGCCACCAAGGTTCCTTCCATAACTCTCATCGCTAGAAAACCCCGCGGGACAGTTCTACTCTGTTGTATGCAGTGGCGGTGAGTCAAATATCTACGCAAAGGGATTTAACAGCAAAGACGAAACCACTGAAGGAATTGCGGACACCATTGATAAAATTGTGTCAACGCAGAGAAAGTTAAAGGTGTAAAGGAACTGTTGATAAATGCAACTAGTGGTTTAGTGGTAAACCTTGAACAGTCATTTTTGTTTTGTTTTTTACCATTGAGCCAGAACCAAACTGTAGTTGACCCTCCAGGGGTTTTTCAGAAGCAGTTAATCAAACAGGAGGAGATTAACCAGCCTTCTCCTGCAGAGAGGCTGGTGGATTTGAACCACATGACTTCAGGAGTATTTTTTAGCATTTGCCAATTTGCACGGTGCCAACTTCAAGAACTCAAAATGAGATAAAAAAATATTTAGGAAAAGATGCATTCAGCTGGCCCTTGTCAGTTGGTGAGAGCTTACTCCGTCACACCAGTGAATGCACCTAAATAAAAAAATTGTATGCTTGTTGTCCTGCAAAATCATTATACCCTAAGCAGAAAGAAATATTTTCAACTATCAAACAACTGATTTCTCTCATATGCAAAGAACTTCAAGTCATTAAAACAAATCACACAGACTTTTTTTTAAAGCTCACTATCTTTTAAAAAATGGTTCCTAAAATAAAAGATACTCAACTTACTCACAAAATGAAAATGCAAACTTAAATTACAGTGGATTAATTTAGGAAGTGGACGAAAATCATTATCAGAGAAATAGGCACATTGCTGGTGGAGGTGTTGTTGTTGCTGTTAGGTGCCGTTGAGTCGTGTACGATGCTATGAACAAAAGATCTGAACCCTGTTCTGTCCTGTGCCATTCTCACACTTCCTGACACACAAGAGCCCATTGCTACACACACTGCATCAATCCATTGTGTTGAGGGTCTTCTTTTCTTCTCTGACCTTCCACTTCTCTCAGCGTGATGTCATTTCCCAAGGACTGGAACCTTAAACTGGAAAGACTGTATGTTGCTGTTGTTTTTAAGTGCCAGTGAGTCGTAGGCAACTCATAACAACCCTATGAACTAAAGACCTGAACACTTAAATAACTTTCATCGTTTCTCCAGGTTCATAGGGTTTCTGGAGGCAAGCTATTTCAGAAGTAGATGCCACAATGGAATACTATGCTGCATTAAAAAACAAGGAACTCATGCAATATTATTCAAAATGGTTGACTCTGGAGAACATTATGCTGAGTGAAATA